TGATGGACAATAAATCCACCAAATGATCCGATTCACGAAGCGGATCGTAAGGACAAAATTCAGAACGAGAATTCGAGAATTGGGTATGTATTATTAGCTTGATCTAGCTTGAATTTCCTCCTTTTGGGTCTCATCTATTTATACCTGAGCTACATGCACTTAAGGGTAACGCATAATCGATGGAGTCTATCCCGTTAAGGGCGCGATCCCCTTTTTCCGGCTCTGTAACGGCCAATTTGCTCCGTCTCCTTCTCTGTAACCGGCTCTGCCAGCTATGTTTGGTCTAAAGTCAACCGGGCCTGGCTCCATGGGCCGGCCCAGACCTAGGTATTCTCTGAGTGTCTGACCCGAAGTGGTGTAAATGGTTCAGTTGGGCCGCCCACTGGGTTTCGGCCCATCAGTGAGTGAAGGTATTGTATATAGAAAACTCGCTAGTTTCAATGCTTATTCAACATGTATGTTACGATCAGGGCTCGTGAGGACGTCGGGGACGTGGAGGATCGTTCATGCATGGGGGAGGTGCGACGTAGTACGAGAATCAAGAGACCAGAATTACAGTACATATTAATAGAAGTTTGGTGAGACTATTAATACAGTACATATTAATACAATAAAATAAAATAATTTTGAAATAGGAAAATATAATTTTAATTTTTAAAATTCATACATACACATATTGATATGAGAGGAGATCACCCAAACACACCCTTAATATCCCTCCACCATTTTGACTATGTCAACCTAATCTTCCCATCCATGGATTGAGCCCAATCCGTTAGTCATCTAATGAACGCTGCAAATCTGGATCAAACTCGGATCCTCCAACAGATCATCTGCTTCCACAGGTATTTTTTTCTAATTTTCACAATATTCGTTCAATTTGATTTTTTTATCAAATTAGATTAAACTTAATCAAATATTCCCTCCGATCCGATCGTAAAAATTCTTCTTATTTTGATTTTTTAGTCAAATAGTGATAAGAATAATTCTAATTTTCTCGCAATTTATGATCAAAAAGTATCATTATTTGACCAAAAAAAAATTGAATTTAGATAATAATTCTAATTTTATCGCAATTTATGATCAAAGAATGACATTATTTGACTCAAAAAATAGGAAGGCTTTGTTTGATACACGGAATTCACACTTTGGAATTCAAATTCGAGACAGTAATTTCAATTCTGCTATTTGGAAGTACAAATATACGTGGATTTAGAATTAGTAGTGCTAAAAATAAATTAGAATTAGAGAATTCAATTCTATCCAAATCAATTCAATAGAATTTCAACTCTGAATTAAATTCCAATTCCATTAATTTCGTGTATCAAACGTACCCGAAGAATTTTTAGGAATGGAGGGGGTATTAAATAAAATTATGTTACATACTTCTTTCATATTAGTACAAAATTAATTCAAAAAATGTTTTCAGTTTTTTTTAACATTTTTTTACTAAAATTGTTTTCAATTTAAATGATTTGAAAATTAATACACAAAATAAATTTTAATGAACAGGCAAAGCAATTGGTCGTTCTCAATTCCATGGGGATACTCTGCCAACATATACGAGAAGATAATGCCTCGGAGCTACCTGCAGAACCCAATCCAGAGCTTCAAGCCATGGGCGAAAAGCCCGGGGCCGCCGCACTGGATTTTCGATGTCTGGCGGCTCCGGGCGGCGGTCGCCTCCGCCTCCGCACTGGATTATATTCTTCCATGAGTCCGCCGAGAAGGTGGCGATTACCCCCGCACATTATGAGACACTCGGGACGTATCGCCGGTCATGGCGGCGTGGACTGCCCGCTTGCTCCGCCGCCGGTAATGGTTCATCAGCTGACCGGATTTCCAAGATTCTGGTGTAAGATAATAAGAGATTAGGAGAATAATGAATAGAGATTAGAGGGTAAGAGATAGAATAGGGAGATTGAGAGAATGTTGTGATTTTTTGAAAAAAAATGAGAAGTTTATATAAGGCTCTCCTTCGCATGTTTCGCTCAATCCAAAAAAATTTATGATTGGAGGCACCATTAGGAGACTGTATCCAAGAACTTTCGACTCAATACGAAAACCAGTGCGTGCTTTCTTTTTTAAAATGTAACATTAAAATGTGAAAGAGCAAAAAATGTCATTGTAATCTTAGAATTTATACATCAATTTAATTTTCAAAAAAAAAACTTTCAACGTACTACTCCGATCTATTTGTTTGGAAATGTTTTTCTCATATACGGAGTGTTATTTACACTGCTAAACTTTATTCACTTTGTTTGATTATTTTGACTACATATTTCATATATAATATAGTTATGTCAACTCTTATTTTGTAGATTTTTATGTAGTGTTTAATATATAAATTTTATTTTTAATTTCACACATATAATCAAATAATTAAAAATAATTTTGATCAAATTTTGTAAAACCGGAATGAAAAAAAATTTCAGGGGAGGAGTAATTAAAATGAATAAAAATTAGTATCAAAGAAAATATAATGTGTAAAAGTGGAAACTGGGCCCATTTTAGAAAAATGAGTGGGGGCGCTGTCAATGTAAAACAAAATTAATGGGGGCAGCGTTTTTTTAATCAAGAAAAGATTAATTTATCAAGTGAAATTTTATCTAAAGCCTAACTTGTTAAAATTTGACTGGGGCAAGTATTGGCCGGAGAGGTCCGGATCCGGAGAAGTCCGAATCCGGAGAAGTCCGACTTGCGAGAAATCTGATTTCCGAGAGGTTCGAATTCTGAAAAATCCGAATCTCGAGAAGTCCGAATCCTGAGATGACCGAATCCCATTCTAATTGGGATTGATCTTGATTTATTTGTTTCCTAGTTTGATTATTGATTCGTTTCCTTGTAGGATTTGTATTTCTTGTTTAAAGGGGAAACCTCTTGTAATTAGACAGAACAATTCAATATACAAACTATTTTTCTCTTATTAGTTTCTACATGGTATCAGAGCCTTATTGACTAAGAGACCACGGGTTCGAAACTCAACTCCACCCAGTTTAAAAAAAAATTAAGGTTTCACGTGCAAGGCTCGAAAAAGACTATGCATGCACGTGAGGGGGCGTGTTAGAATATAAATAACTATTCTTGGGCCACAACCACAAGATTGAGCTTTTGGTTGAATTGGTTCCTTGACAGCAAGTGCCCCCATAATAGTAAACGTGCATCCGCCCCTGCTGACATCCCCCAACCCACCCACCTCCACCCCCCACACTTTAATTCAAAAAAAAAAAAATCAAATGGTCAGGAATTGGAATCAGACTTGGAATTGCGATTCCGGTCACACCCCTCTCCTCTCTGATACCGTGTTAGCCAGTTTTGGTACTGATTCCCGCTGTGTTGCCGCCGTCGCTGGTCCGGGTGTCAGAACCGCCAATACCGCTTTCAGTATTGGTTCGGAACTGGATTTGAGTCCAAGTATAATGTGACACTAGAAATCCACGTAACACTCACTCAGTGATGAGTCATCCATAGCCTTTCAATTATGAATTATAATAAAGGCGGGAGAGAAAATCTCCTTTTTTTAAATATCATGACGTGGAATTTTCATCCATTTAAATGCATGACAGTCCTAACGCTCCAATTCCCGCACAAAAATGACTTCTCCTGCCCAAATTTTCGGCTTTGACATTCAAACTTTTGCTTTTTTCACATTCTCAACACTCTTCTTCTCCACCTTGTGCCTGTATTATTATCACGGAAAATCGCGCAAGCAATTGCCGCCGGGGCCGCCGGGATTCCCGGTGGTCGGATACCTGCCGTTCCTCCGCCGAAATCTACACCACCAGTTCACCGATCTCGCCGCCAAGTACGGCCCGATCTTCAAGCTCCGGCTGGGGAGCCGGCTCTGCGTGGTGGTGAGCTCGCCGTCCACCGCGAGGGAGATCCTCCGCGAGCAAGACGCGGTATTCTCGAACCGCGACCCGACGGCGGCGGCGCTGATCGCCACGTACGGCGGCCGCGACATCGCCTGGGCGCCGATGGGCGGCTACTGGCGCGACGCTCGGAAGATATTCGTCCGCGAGATGCTGAGCAGCGGCAACATTAGGGCTTGCCGCGAGCACCGCAGATCGGAGGTCAGAAAGGCGATCCGAGATCTGAGATCTAGAGCGGGCGAATCCGTCGATGTCGGAGAATTGGCTTCTCGGACTGAAATGAATGTTGTGACGAGCATGATTTTTGGATCTGAAAGGGCTGGGGACGAGTTCAGGAAGATAATGGGGGAATTTATTGCTTCAATTGGGGAGCCAAATGTGTCTGATTTCTTCCCATGGCTGGCTAGGTTTGATCTGCAGAGGAAGCAGAGGAAGATGAGGGATTTAGTGAAGTTTGTGGGAAATACTCTTGACCCAATCATTGAAGAAGGTTTGAAGATTGTTTCTGAGAAATCTCGGACTGCGGGGAAGGGTGAATTCGAGGAGAAGAAAGATTTTCTGCAGATCCTCTTGGAGCTCAAGGTTAGTGAAGCTGGCAAATTGTTGGATTTTGATGCAATCAAGGCTATCTTGCAGGTAATGGTTTGAGTCCTCCTTTGGTCCCACTATTTTTTACTCTACTAGACTCGAACCCGTGCGATGCACGGACTATTAATTGACATATAATTACTTAATGTTTTGAATAAAGAAAAATGTTACAAAAACCTGAATGATTATATAAATTGATCGAACAAATAGAAAAAAGAAGGGGAGTTATGGAAGTGTTATAAGTTTTGAAATATTTTTTATAAACTACATTCGTTATTTGGTTACATGAAGGAAGATCTTTATTGCAAATCAAAATCTTTAACACTTTTCATGCGTCGTAGAGTAATAATATTTAAATATATGTATTGGACTATAAAATTATTTTTAATATTTATTCAATACTCATTATGTCCTAATTTTACGATCCATTTTTTTGGATATATTTCTTAAGATCAATAATAATTACATTTTGAAGCATGATATAGGTCTATATAAAATAAACATTTTAATTGTACTCATTATAATATTGGAAACTTTACAAAAATAAAAAAGGAAGTCTATTCTAGGGCGAAGAGAGACACAAAATCATCTAATAAAGGAAAAATTACCCAAAATAATCTCAACTTTACCCGGTCTTTCAAAAATAATCTCACCTTTCACTGTGATGCATAATAATCCCAACTTTACTGAAATTTGCCAGTTTTGGGTCGCCGTTAAGTTTCTAATGGAGGGTTAACGGAAATGCCCGTTTTAGGCAACAAAATGAAAGTTGGGATTATTTTTGATATATTTTCATTTTTTTAATTTTTTTAAAATTTTTCATTTAAATTTTTTAAATTACTTTCTACCTCCATCATCATTTCTTTTTCCTTTTTTAAAGATTAGTCTTAGTTTAAAAAATAAAAATAATAGATATAAAAAATGAAAAAAATGAGAAATGTAACTAAAATGATACAAAAATAATAAAATAAATAAGGTAATCAATGGAAACTAAGTTGAAATTGGTAAAAGTAAAATAAAATTATGCTGGTGGGTTTTAATATTTTACGCATCATACAAAGTATTAACATATCACTTCTTATTTTTTAGAAAAAATTATCTACAATAATTCCAACTTTACCGGACGGCTTGTTCTTGAAAAAAATAAGTAGTACATTAAGACTCCGTATAGTGTGTAAAATGTTAAAACCCACCACTCCGTATATATTTATTTTATTTATTACCAGTTTCTGTTTAATTTCTATTGATTACATTATTTATTTGATTAATTTTGTATGGTTTTAGTTATTTTTCTCATTTTCATTATTTTTTATATCTATTTTTTCTAAGGTAAGAATAATCTTTAAAAAAGAAAAAGAAATGGAGGTTGAAAATAATTAAAAAAATTTAAATAAAAATTTTAAAAAAAAATTAAAAAAAATTAAAAAAAATTAAAAAAATTAAAAAAATAAAAAATTTAAATAAAAATTTCATTTTATATATTTTATAGAAACAGTATTAGTCCTAAGCCCAATGAATCGTCCGGCCCAAATATATTCCCGGCCCAAGGATATAAAACGAATCGGCCAAACCCTACTCTTCATTTCTGCCGCTACGACCTTTCTTTCTCGATCCCTCCTCTTCCGCTTCATCTCTTTTGTCGCTCATCCGTAACTATCTCTCTCTGGTACTCTTTGATTATTGAAGTATTTGATTCCCATATACGCCTCATTTCGTCGATGCTTTATGTGTTATTTTTTATGTGTTGTTTTTTTCCCATCGTTTCCATATACTCTTTGATTTCCATATACTCTTTGATGTGTTGATTTCCATATGCCGCTTTATGTTTTGATTTCCATATACTCTTTGATTATTGAAGTATGGCTTTATGTGTTAGAATGCATATTTAGATCATCCAATTTACATATATAATTTTCGATATATATACACACACACACACACACACACACACACACACACACACATAAATATATTCATATTTGAAAAATCTAAGCCTATATAAATTTTACCTATCGACATGTTTTTAATTATAATACACAAATACATATATTTGTAAATCAAAACATCCTTTATTTAATTATAGAACTATTTCTTAATCTTCATCACAATTTCCCTTGTTTATTTAATTATAGAATAATGTATTAATCTCCTAACCTGTTAATCCTATTTTTATTGTTTTTAGAGTAGTACTTGCACTAATTATTTTTTAAATTGTGGCCTGTTGATATAAGTATTACTTTATAAAAATGATATCTCTAAAATTTTTTCAAACCTTATTTTGGGTACTCTTAGATATTACATATTAAAAAATATATATTCTTTTTTATATATGTATCGATGTGTGTGTGATGATATAGGACATTGAAAACTGATTATGGGATTTGTAGGCTTTTAATGTTTGAGGCATCGAAGAAAATGATGGCGTGGCGTAACGGAATTAACCCCCGTTGTTGCAGCCATGGCAATTTCATTTCTTATATTGCCTCAAACTTAAAACCTGATTAAAAAATCTGAGCCTCTGTTGTATATTATGTGTATTTGTACATGTGTTGTATGACTATAATTTATATATATACACACACACAGATATATATATATTGTTCTATATATATATGTGTGTGTATATATATATATATATATATATATATATATATATATATATATATATATATATATATATGCTCCTTTAATCATGTCTATATATCGTTCTATATATACATGCTCCTTTAATTATTCAATGTTTTTACTGTGTCATCAATTCTCTTTTTTATTTGTCCTTGAGTTTGTTGAATTTAATCTATGAATATACTACAATATAGTAAATGTCGTTGGAGAAAGAAGGGAAATGAAGGGTTATCAACAAAAAAGAAGAATTGTAAATAAGGCATAGAAGATGAAGAGCTTTCAAACCTTAGGTTGGAGAAGTCTTCTTACAAAGTCTACATTGCAATTGTTAAGGATTTTAAAAATGTATTGTTTCAATCTCTTTATATATTGAACTTTGTAGAATTGCATAGGCTTTGGATGGGAAAAGACACACTAATCAATGAGGCTATTTTGAAAAGTTGAAATAGATCCATTATAGCACGGTTTCCAAAATATTTTGTAAATCTATGCAATTAATGCTTGGATTGTACAAAGTATCATTACTTTTGCTTTATACTTTTGCTTTATGGAGCCATGCGCCACTTTATGCAGCAAAGGAAGAGTGATTGGACAACACATAAAGTTGATTAGACAACACACTAATTACCCTCTAGATTAGCTGTATTATTGGCCCAAAACCCGTTCCACCAGCCCAATTTTGGCCCAGCCCGAATCGGCCCAATTTAGCCCAATGAATTAGGTGGGAACACTGTACAAAAGAGCATCCTAGCATTGTATATAGTAAGATTTGTTCATTTCACTATTTGTGTATCATAGTTCCTTCCAAATTTAGTAAGGGCTTTCATTCTCATTTTCAAAACTTTCTATTCGCAAAAGTAGGCAATACATTATTAGTACATTCGTACACACGAGCGAGAGAGTACTCCCCCCTCTCAAATTAATTTTTTATTATGGTCAAATAATAGCTCCAATGTTTCTGTAATTTGGAAAATAGGTATCAACATCTCCTGTTTTCAAAAATTATTTTTAAAGTTTATATGGTTTCAAAATGTTATCCACGGAGATTTTAGAAATAAATTTTAAAAACAGATGGAGTATGGATGCAACATTTTGAGATCACGAGACTTTAGAAATAAGTTTTGAAAACAATGGGGTATTAGTACTTATTTTCCAAACCATGGGGGACACATGTGCTATTTGGCATTTTTATTACTATTACGGTCTTTCGATAACTTAAGTTTATATGCATGTTTTTATTGCTATTACGGTCTTTCAATAACTCATTGTTCGCACTCTAAATTTTGCAATTTAGTGATTTCACATTATTTTTTTGAAATTATATATGTTGGTCCTTTTTGATAATAGAAGTTTTAGAATGCGTTCTCTTTGTCTGATCAAACCTAATCTAAATTTTAAATGTTGATCTGAATAGATTTGATCTAATGTAAATAGATCTTATTTTATCTGCTAGTTTAATTTGAACTAAATAGACCGATTTGATTTAAGTTCAAATTGTTGTTGTTATTATTACTATCATTGCTACTATTGTTATTATTATTGTTATTACTCTCTTCGTCCCATAATATCCATTCTTCAATTAGAAAACAACTTTTACACATGTTAATTTTTACTCTACCTATCACATCATACATCTTCGTTAATAATCTACATACACATCCTAAGCTACATTTACACATCACATCAAGGATAAATTAGAATGTCTACACAAAAATATCTTTCTTAAATGAAAAAAAGACTAAAGTCAGAGTAAAACATTGAAAATATACCAAAATATGAGTTCCATATTTTTATTTCCGAAATATGAGTTAAAATACATTCATGGTGTTAATCATGACTATATAAATTACATTCAGTGTCACATTATCATAGTGCAACCTTTTATTTTGGAGATAAAAACATGGAGCTCCTATTTTGATACTTTCTCTATGTTTTACTCATATTTAGATTGATTTCTTTTCTTAAATCTCATAAATATCAAAATAAGGACTTTGTGAGACGGAGAAAGTATTATTTTGACAAAAAATAATCATGTCATAATCTGACAACGCTCCAATTAGAGTATAGGCAATGCTTCATTTGAAAAATTAATGGTTCATACTTTCTCTAACCCCCTCAGAAATCCCTCCAAGCCGACCTGACCCGAACCCATTTCATCCCCTACATTTAGTTGAGTTTTGGCTCAAAAAATTAATTCAAAAGTCAAATAAATTTGGAAGATGGAATCGATGGGGTGGGTGCGGATAGGGTTGGGGTGAAGGGGTTTACCAAGAAGGTTAGGATGGTGGGAACTACTCCGTATTAATTTTATGAACGAAATACTGTAAGTTCTCTGTTTTGGGTGACAACGTCCCTTGTTGTCAAATAAATGAAATTCTACGCTCTTCTTCTTTTGATAACAACTTTTGTTGTTATAATATGACAACAGCAGCCAGGGGTGCAACTTTTGTTATCATATCTATATTTTGTTTCTTTTTTCCTAACTATGAACATAACTACACAATTCAATATAGGATATTGTGCTAGGGGGGACAGACACAACAGCAACAATGGTGGAGTGGGTCATGGCAGTGCTACTTGACAGTCCAGAGGTAATGAAGCAAGTTCAGAAAGAACTCGAGGAGATTGTAGGAATGGACAACATTGTCGAAGAGTTCCATCTTCCAAAGCTCACTTATTTGGATGCTGTTGTGAAAGAGACGCTCCGTTTGTACCCTGCATTACCACTCCTTGTCCCTAGGTGCCCCAGCCAAACCTCACAAGTGGGTGGGTACACAATCCCAAAGGGCACTAAGGTCCTTTTAAATGTGTATGCAATTCATAGAGACCATAAACTTTGGGACAACCCATCACAGTTCAAACCCGAAAGGTTCTTGAATCGGAGTTTGGGTTTGTTGGATTACACTGGCAATGACCCACGGTTTCTCCCGTTTGGTTCGGGTAGGAGAATCTGTGCGGGAATTCCCTTAGCTGAGAAGATGTTGGTGTACATTTTGGGGTCCTTGTTGCATTCCTTCTATTGGCATCTTCCTGAGGGTGAAAAACTTGATTTGTCTGATGCGTTTGGGCTTGTCACCAAGAAAAGGACTCCTTTGATTGCTGTCCCAACTCTAAGGCTATGCAACTCTGAACTTTATTGTTAAGTTCTGACTCGGAGAAATATAATGTGTGTGTGTTTTTAAATGGAATATCAAGTCGCTGCAGAGTGTGTTGAATTTATAGAGAATAATGAATAGTGGAGTCACACTTTTCTTGTAATTTTGTCTTTTTTACATATACTTCATACTTTATAACAACACATTTGAATTTGCAGATGTAACATATCAGATGAAACATATTTTTGTGCAACAATTGTTTAAGCATCTCATTAACCCGCAACGTCTTCTCTGGCCCCGTACCTACGCACAATGTAAACCAAAAAAAGTGTATGCTCAGCGAGTTGGTGATTGACACAATATAGTAACACAGAAACATTGCTTTTTTTAAAGGATCACTTGATAATCCAATAATCATTCCTTTTTTTTTATTCCCAAAAAAGGGGTCATTCCTTTTTTTTACCCAAAAAAGAAACATTACTTTCTTGAAGATAAATTTTTTGGTAGTCCTTAGGATTATATTCATTTTATAGTGTAAAAACAAAGAAAGTATTAGATCTATTCCAATAAAGAAAACACCCAATCCATAAAAGGTATGTGAGAATGTGGTATTTAGGATCAGAAAAGCACATCTTCTTTTTAAAAATAGCCATTTGATAATCCATTACTCATTCTTTATTTTCATGAGCATAACATATCATTACATATCATAACATAAAAAGGGTAAAACATAACTATCTTTTACTTCACTTTTTGTAATGATTATCACTTTGGTATGTTAAACTATAAACTTTCTATTTTTTTAAAAAGGAGTGTAAAACTTTCTAAAAATTTCTCTAGCTTCTAATGCACTTCTGTCATACTTCGTGCAAACGCTAAATTATTAAAAAACACAATTTATCTTGATCTGCTGCCAAGACAAGTTGACACCAATCTGAATTCGCCTTCATCAAAGTTTACGACGTCCACGACAGTCTTGATATCGACACTTTGATTTGTAACAAGCTTCTTAATAGAGTTTCAATTTCATTTAGTTCTTTCTTTCCCAAAACACCTGTGATGCCCATTGTAACACCCTAATCCGTCCAAGTCTGCAGCCCCTTTCAGACTAAAGTATTAACTTGGTAATCGTAAAATTTAAAACTTTTCAAATATTTTATTTATCACAATAATAATTTTTCATAACATAAACGATACGAGGTATTCAACAATATTGTGGAAGCGAATTTTACTGTTGTCATATCACAATAAATTAATTCATAATTAGTCACATCCATTCAGACTATCTTGCCTCCGTCTGCCTCCGGGATCACGTCACACCATTTTTTCTATTAACCTGAGTGTAGCAAATAAAACACACTAAACGCTCAGTGGTAAAGCTGAGTAAGCATATCTAATGCGTCAAACATCCATATTTACGCTCAGCGGTGAATATATATACACTCCAGAGAGAGAGAGAGTATTGGACAAGTGAGACTTGTGAGAGGAGAGATCGAGGACCCCTAACATTGAGGGCAAATCTTCCTTTTATAGGGAAGGAGGAGGAGCATCTTCGGGGAATATTCTTTTATTCCTCCATTTTACTAAACAGGCTCGATAGGATTGATCTTCGTAAATAATTAGAAAATGTGGGCCCACCCACATATTATTCCCCATCACTTTCTATGGCTGGGTTGGAGAGAAGCCAGGCTGAATAGGTTCATATCCACTAATCTAACTTATGTTCTCTGTTCTCATGTTTTAGAAGACAAAGAGCACCTCACTAGTACATAAAAGGGCAAAGGCACCAGTTGTTATATACTTTTAGCATCCGTTTTGTACCGATGTAAATACAAGCGATGCAATTGGTCCAATTCAATTGCATCGCTTTGGAAACAACTGATGCCTTTGCTATTTTATTAATTTAAAAAAAAGAGTATTAGCATCTATTGTTTCTAAACAACCGATGCATTTGCTATTTAATTAATTTAAAAAAATAGAAAAGGCATCGGTTGTTTCTAAACAACCGATGCCTTTGCTATTTTATTAATTTAAAAAAAATAGCAAAGGCATCGGTTGTTTCTAAACAACCGATGTCTTTGCTATTTTATTAATTTAAAAAAAGAGTATTAGCATCGGTTGTTTCTAAACAACTGATGCCTTTGCTATTTATGTGGATATAATGACTACAATTTCTTTCGGAATGTCTTCCCGGTGACTACTTGGTAGTGGGTGAGCATAGGTCGAATTTCTTCTAGTAGACTCCCAGCTTCTTCGCCTCCCAAGTAACTAGCAGCACTAGCAGGCAATTGCTACAACAAATATTATAAAACAAAATACGGAGTAAATAACTGTCCATAATAACCATTCTTATATTAGGAAATATAAAAGAGAACTGGACGAGCGCTTCTTACCCACAAGGCCACAACCCATCTTCCTCTATTCTGATTATAGCTGACAACATGCCAAAATGGCTTCAAAAGAGTAGAGAAAATACATAAGATAAAAAGTTAGCATGGAATCAATAAGAAATTAAGACATAAAACTGTAAACCAGTAAAAGGAACTCAATTTATAAATTAAAAAAACGAAACGCATCACACAAAAACGAAATGCAATAGACAAAAACGAAACGCAAACAGTTGGGGATCCACGCATAGCCGGGATGATTGAAGTGGCTGCAACGATGACAACAGAGGTGGAGGTGGTGGTTGAAGGTTGTGTCCGACACAACCACACAAAGCGTCCACTCCAAATATAATAATATACAGGGGTGAGAGATGCCAATTCTGAAAAAGATCAATGCTGTCCCAACACAGCTACACCAAATATCAAAAGGCATTGAATCTAAGCCAAAGGAACCACTCCATTTTCTTTGTATTGATATAGTTACAGCCATTCTGATGCTATAAACATATTTTTTTTAACGAAAGTTCAGCATTTAACTTCAAAACCTTAAAACATTCAATGAAAATAGCACCTTGTAAACAAAACTCTATAGAACAAACTATAACTAAAACCAAATATCATCATGTAACCTTCTAATTAAATCCTGATTATGTTCTTGATTCAAAATAATGATCTCAAATGATGATGCTCATAGAAGCGAATGAATTATCGACTAAAAAGCAAGGAATAAAATGATTACCGTGAGATACTTCATTTTAAGGTTTCTGTATGCAAGTCCAAGTGTGACTGCCGATACACGAGCAACCTACAATCAATCAATTGCACATGAACTCAGAATCAATTTCAAATCGCAAAATCAAACATAATACAAGAGTGTTCGTCTTATTATTGCAAATCAACCGTACGTCTCAATGTTTTGTTTGTTTTCAAGGTTTTGTTTGTTTATTTTCAAGGTTTTGTTTGTTTATTTTTTTTTTTTTAAAATCATGAATGACCAGTTTGCTGTAAAAATAGGCCATAACTTATCATAAAAGTGGAGATGGAGAGTTACTTTTTGTTTGCTTTGGGTGTTAGGCACATGCAACCACTGCCGAGACGGAACAACCAAAATGGTGGGATAAGAGTGTCCCAAATATGATTGACATCTATTCTGCAGAAGAATTTTTAGATTCTTTAAGTAAAGCTGGCGATAGATTAGTTATTGTTGACTCATTAACAGTATGCTAGGGTTTAAGAAATTAGGGTTTAACCAAACCTGGCTTATTAGTTCGGAGACTTTGAGGCGGATTTGCTTTAGCTCCTCGAGGTGGAAGAGGATGTCCGTCCTTGGCCCAATCTGAGACTATCGGTCGCCGGATTTCTAAAATTCAAAGTGAGCAAAAAGTCTCTGCTCCCCCAATTCAGCCTCCCCCAACCGGTCGCCGGATTTCTGAAATTGGAAGTGTCTGCTCCACCTAATCAGACGTTCGGCCTCCCCCAATCGACTGTCGCAGGTATATGCTACGCCATCGTCGTAGAGGTCGCTGCAATTCGTCCGACGTCAGTGGTGAACAAAGAAGGCAAAGGAAAGCGGTAGATCGTCCTCTTTTTGAGATTGTTGTTCGTCCGACGGAGAAGGCCAAGGAAAGCCGAAGATCGCTGCAGTTCGGCCGGACGTCATATGTGGTCGCTGCAGTTGGTTCGTAAAATATTTGAGATTGTGGTTAGATCTGTTTTGGCAAACATTGAAATTCAACCTATGTTTTAAAAAACGATGCACTGTGGTTTAAAAAAATTCTGAAATAAAAAAAATGTAATGGCTTTAGCATCGGTTATACCACCACTGATGCCTTTGTTGATTTTAAAAAATTGAAAATTTAATTGTTTAGAAAGACTATGGCATCGATTCTACAAAAACACCGACGCCATTGTTATTTTATAATATAAAAAAAATATTTAATGCTTTTAGCATCGGTTGTATTAAACCACCGATGCCTTTGTTTATTTTCTAGAAATAAATTTTAAAAATTTAAAATACGTATTAGCATCGGTTGTTTTAGACAACCGATGCCATTGATCAATTACATCGTGTTTTCAATATAACCGATGCCTTTGATCTTTTGCATCGGTTGTTTAAATAGGCGATGCATTTGAGGAGATGTATCTGTCTTTTTTTGTGGTAGTGCCTGTTCTATGCATGCAGATATACAAAAGAGATCCAGAAAGAGATTGACAACTGGATCAAATTTCAATGGAGTGCATCTAGTGATAACACAATGACGGAGGAGGTTATGAAGATAAGAGGGAGGTGGAGGAGGCAGATTGCAATTGCCGCATTTGCACCTACCTGTTATGTAGTTTGGAGGGCAAGGAATAAGCTGATTAAGGTACAAGAAGTTACCCCTACTAGTGAGTGTTGTAGATGAATTAAGGAGCAAATGAAAGCTTTCATAAATTTTAAGTTTAAGTCTATTATGTTGATGTAAAGTTATTTCTCTGGTGTTTTGTTAGTTTTGGTTTGTAGCCATTGGAACTATGTTGTACTGATTGTAGGTTTAATAAATTGTGTATTTTGTTCAAAAAAGATTATCAAAAACATCTGTATGATTAAATAATTACTCCCTCCGTCCACAAAAAAACTTATTGTTGCGCGTTACGATGTTTGACTGAAGTTATTTTCAAGTCATTTTATATGAAAAATGGTGTAAAATTTAAAAATAAAAATTACATATTAAAAAATTATTTCAAAAGATCTACAATACTAGAAGTAACATGATTATACGTAGTATTATTTTATCAAATGGACGACGAAAATAAACCAACAAAATGAATAAAGTTTAACCCTGTAAATAGTGAACAAAAAATTTTGTTTGTGGATGGTGGGAGTATTTTAAAATAATTTAATAATTCAAATACGAGTGTGAATGTGATACTAATTTTATTTTTGATCTATAGGAGAAGGAACTCTCCTTTTCTTCATGGATAAAGCTACTTGTACCCCATGTTTTGTACCCCACTTTGTACCCCGCAGGTTTGCACCAACACAAAGTGTTGGTGTAAAACTAATTTTTGTTAATGCACAAGCACTTTGTTTCTGTGTAAATTTTTGTTAACGCACCAACACTTGTTTCGGTACAAATCATCAAAATGTTTGTGTATACTTGCAGTGTACAAATGGTGTACAATTTGTGGTGTAAATGTAGCATGACCCTTACTTCATTTGTAAAATCTCTTCAGGAAAGCTTTAGAAGCATCTGGAACTCCTACCGTCCAAAAGCCTAGCGTTACTCTAACCCTGCGAACCAACCCTGAATTTCATCCCCTCCACCGCACCGCTAAGCTCGGCACTACAGCGTTCCTTCTCATCCTTCACCGCGAAGTCAAGCCATGGACGCCGCTAAGCTCAATCAGCTGAAGGATTTCATTCAAGCGTGCAAGTCCGACCCCTCCATCCTCTCCGACCCGTCTCTCGACTTTTTCCGTTCTTACATCGAAAGGTTTGTGCGTAGAATCTGACCAGGATTTCCGATTGCGCTGAAGTTTATCATCATTTACCTCGATTTCTGTATTTATTTTGATCGGATTTAATATGTGTTCTGCTATTCAGCATTGGCGGAAAGCTTCCTGCTGAAGCTTACAAGCATGGAGAGTTTAAAGCGGTAATTCTCAAATTATCCAGTCTTTCATTTATAAAGTTCTTGGAAGTGTCTGTTCCTGATGAATAGATCAATAGGGCTTTGTGAAGATTTCTAGTTTTACTCACAACGGAATGACATTAGTTTTATGTTTCCCATACTTGTATTGTTTCTAAAACTAACTTGAGAAAGTAAAGTCGATTCTTTCTGAGAATAATAAATTCAACTCTTGATCCGTTTAAAACAGGAATTCAGATCCTGTTTAACATTATTGGTTTATGTTGTCTGAATATAAGGTTGAAGTAAAAAGTTTTGGTTAAAAATGAGATTTTATGTTTCTATAGTAATGCGTGTTGTGGAAAATGATTGTGTTCAGAAGTCTCATGTGGTGGAAGAAAGCGATGATGAAATGGGTGATACAGCAACAGAAGAAGAGGAACCCGAAATAGTAGAATCTGATGTTGAGCTGGATGAGAGCTATGTTGTGGAACCAGACAATGATCCTCCACAGCAGGTGTGGAATATTAGTTTGATATTCAGGCATTCAGCTTCCGATTTAAATTTCTTTCTCTATATTTTATAATAAAATGGTGGTTTTCAAATTGATGGGTGTAGATGGGAGATCCCTCAGTAGAAGTTTCTGAGGAAAATCGTGATTCGTCTCAAGAGGCAAAAGCTCAGGCCATGGAAGCACTTTCGGAAGGTTATATTGCTTGTCATTGTATGCATGTGTAGTTGTATCATACGATACATGAAGAGCTAACATGTGTTTAGTGCCAACTTTTTTCTTCAATCAGGTAAGTTGGAGGAAGCAATTGATAATCTCACAAAAGCAATAACACTGAACCCTACTTCAGCTATTATGTATGCTACTAGAGGTAAACTTGCATTAGATTTCTCGTACTTGGTGATTCTAATTCATATATGTTAATTTACCGTCTATTGATTTTTTTACATGTAATTATGTGCTGTTTCTATATCTGTTATTTTGCAGCTAGCGTGTATATCAAAATGAAAAAGCCCAATGCTGCTATCCGAGATGCATGTGCCGCTCTAGAGGTTCCCATCTTGCACCTTTTGCTACCCGTTTTACTTTTAGTGTTTATTGAAATTTAATTTTATTTATATTATGTATGGGTCTGGAATTCTATTGAGGACGACATATGGAATTCTCTGAGTCATTTTCTAATCACCTATGTTTGAATTGGATGTTTATGTGCCAATTCATGCATGTATGAACTATGAATATGAACATTTGCCCATGGTTATATTTTTTGTTTCTGCTTGTCAGGTCAGTTTTTCTCTAAAAATTGTTCAATACTCTGTATATGACAGAGGTCATACTCTATTCATCTGCACCTGTTGCAAACTAATAGTTTCTCAAGTTTAGTTAGCTATGGGTATATAAACTGTAGTTTTAAAAGGTAATGTTGGGTGACATAGTATATCTTTCTTCGCACAATGAATTGCATTGTGCTGCTGCAGATTAATCCTGATTCTGCCAAAGGGTATAAATCACGAGGCATTGCACAAGCTATGCTAGGAGAATGGGAAAAGGCTGCAAAGGATCTTCACATTGCTTCAAACATAGACTATGATGAGGAGATTAGTTCTGTACTGAAGAAGGTCAGCATGCTTCTGGCATCTGCCTTTTACTGTTGTTCGGCTTTTTGATATAATTTAATACGTTTTACGGAGTATTAAAAACATAGAAATGATATTATGAACTTCTAAATTAAAAAATTTCTTTGTCAACTGTATTGTGTTAATTTGATTTGTATATGTTTGCAGGTTGAACCCAATGTACACAAAATTGAAGAGCACCGGAGGAAATATGATAGGATGCGTAAAGAAAGAGAAGACAGGAGAATTGAGCGTGAGAGGCAGCGCAGAAAAGCTGAGGCTCAGGCAAACATAATTAGTCTTTACTTCAACATCCCGAATGAAGCACTAATCTTTTGTTTTCACTGTTACTGATATCCTTTTCATATATCTCAGGCTGCTTATGAAAGGGCCAAGAAACAAGAACAGTCATCATCTAGTAGAACTGGTGGCATGCCAGGAGGATTCCCAGCTGGCATGGGTGGCGGTATGCCAGGAGGGTTTGGTGGTTTCCCTGCTGGTATGGGTGGTGGCATGCCAGGTGGTTTCCCTGCTGGTATGGGTGGTGGAATGCCTGGTGGATTTCCTGCTGGAATGGGTGGTGGGGTGCCCGGTGGAATGCCCGGTGGTTTCCCTGGAAACATTCCCGGGGGGATGCCAGGAAACATTGATTACAGCAAAATATTGAATGTAGGCAGTCCTTTTAGATTCTATTAATAGTTAGCTATGCTTTATTGCCAATTTTCACTTGAAGTAATTATGTAATTGTGCTTGGAATCAAACTTTCCCTTTAGATCTAGTATGATCTATCTCATAAGCTTTCTATTTTTGATCAGGACCCCGAACTAATGGCCGCATTTAAAGATCCAGAAGTTATGGCTGCTCTTCAAGACGGTAACTACGATTGTCCCTATCCATGCATTGAATATTTTGATTCTTGTGTACATTATATGTGTATTATGTTTTTCAAACCTAAAAATTAGCCCAAATGTTAGTTTTTGCAATTGACTGGGGGATGTTTGTTAGTTCAAAATGCAAACTGAGTTTGGGCAGAGTGAGTTTTTGATAGTGCCCTGCGTTTTATGGTGAAAGTATCGATTTTGCTTGGGGCCTATGCCCATTTGAACCATAGATACATAAAGTGGTGAATAGGCTTGGTTTCTCATGATATTTTTACATCTTTTGAATATATCTTTTTTTATTCTATGATTCGGAGATGAATATTTCAAATGTGTGTTTATTTTTTTGCAGTGATGAAGAACCCTGCCAATCTAGCCAAGCATCAGGCAAATCCCAAGTTAGCTCCTGTTATTGCCAAAATGATGGGCAAATTTGCCGGACCAAAGTGAGCGGTTTGGTTTGTCTCCTATGAGCATCTTGGTGGCACTTTCAAGTTTTTTCCCTTTGATATTTTTATGAAATGTAGACTTCCTTTCTCCCTTCTTTTTCTTCCTTGGGTTCCATGAAATTGTAAGACACATGCATGCATTCATTCCCATGGAATGTCCGGATGTTTTTGTAATCTTTGCTGAAATTCTTCATTTAACACCATAAAAAAAACTAGAGGCATTTGACACCCCCTCCGTCTCAATTTAAATTGCAAGTCTCTGTTTAAGAGATTTTACTGATATTATTTTCAATTTATTTTTTTGAAAGTTAGTATATAATTAAAAAATAAAATTTTAAATGTGATAAAAACGGCTAGAGAAAAGTTAATGGTTCATAAATATGTTTGGGTTGTGGGCAGATATTCGCGTTAATATTTTGGATAAAATTTTAGTAGCGTAGATTAACTATGAAATTGTTAAAGCTAAAAGCTATCGTAATGTCGTATACCTTTTTCAAAATGTTAATGCTACTTTTTAACACTGATGCCAAAAAGGACCTTGGTATATAGTTTCACCCTCTTTTTTTGTGCATATAATAAAATAATTTTATTCATACCTAAAACGTTTAAGATGCATTTGATGTCCTCTTTAAGGCTTTATCTGAAAAGTAAAATCGATTTAAAAAGGATAAAGTATTCGTTTGGACGGATTGTACGAATAAAGACCGAACGGACTCCGAATTGGTCTGATTGATGTAAAAATTGCACATAATTTGAACAATATATTTTGTGCAACACACAAGTATGAATTCAATAAGATGATTGAAATTATTCAATGTTTTAAAATACTTTCTATTTCACAGTAACGTCTCCACTTCTAATTTGTTGTTTCTTAAATAGTTAAAAATGACAAACATCTCAAAATGATTCTATTTAAATTAGATGCTAGAAATCATGTTTAAACTTCTAGGCACTAACCAACAAGGCAATAACATCTTCAACATGAGGCACTCCATAATTAAATAATATTTTATATTAAGAGATCACAAAAAGTATGAGCAAAATAACCTTTACTAAGACAATGTGACATTACATATTAATATTTTATGACATTTCATAATATTTTTGATACTATATGCATATTATAGGTCCTATTTTGATGATAAAAATAAGAAAATTCTCTCTTCATCTTCTTGCTATGTTTTAGTCATATTTTAATTCTTTTCTCTTTTATTTTTTGAAATAACCAACTCAATAAAAGTATTACAGATCCATTATAATATTCTTACCTTTTTAAATAAATTTTTCTTTTTTTTTTTCAATCATTTTTATAGATCTTTCTTGTCTCCACTCACATCTTCTCTCATTCGACAAATAACAACGATCACCATAACTCAGTTGGATATCACAAAATTAGGGTTTGGGAAGAGTGCGTACACATATTTTACCCCTACCGGAAAGTAGAGAGCTGTTTCCAGGAGACCACCGGCTCAAGCTGCACGAAAAGAAGGATCACAACATATGTATGAAACAAGGAGAGCATATAGATACAACACAGATTAAACACTCAACACCTAGAAAATAAACTAAAATTATATATGAAGTGAGAGTATTACAAGCAAATAGAAAAAAGCACCAAGCAGAAAAGGCATATCAAGCACACAACAACACTAGCCCCTATCACAATGCATTTACCCAACTACTTTAATCATATCCTCCAAATGCTCCATTCTAACTCTTCCTAGGTCTACCACTTTCCTTACCCCCTTTATCAACGCAAGCTTCTTGTATTTTCGCATTAGAGTGTTAGCATTCCACCGCCTCACATGACTGAATCACATCAACCTAGCCTCTTGGAGCTTATCTTCCACTTGCACCATGCGTCCATACCTAGCCAACCTTTGAAATCCACATGACCAATAAGTAACACGCAATTGACTTTTTTGTCCTTAACCCATTACTTCATTTCTTTCAACCATCAAATCAATGATAAAATTAAAAAGTAAATATGTTTTACATCTTACATTAAAGTTTGTGCTAAGTTAAATGTGGAAGAAAGATATCTGAATAAAATACTTGATGGGTTTTAGAACACAGGCCTAGAAGTCTAGGCAAGAGTTGTCGAATAAGAGCTGAGTACCTTAGGTTGCAAAGAGTAGAATGAGTATATTAGCTTAGGGCCTATTCTTTAGGACTTGAACTCTTAACTTCCAGTTCTTTCCAGTTCCTTCCAGTTTTTTCCAGTTTCTTCCAGTTCTTCCAGTTTTTTCCAGTTTCTTCCAGTTCCTTCGAGTTCCTTCCAGTTTCTTCTAGTTTTTTCCAGTTTCTTCTAATTTCTTCCAACTATATTTATTTTCTTCAAATTCTTTCTACTTTCTGACAAATCACTCTAAAAAAATATATTATTATTATTATTATTACACTTTTTTTAATTACAACTTTTATGTTCATAACTATAGTTTATAAATTATTTCATTTTTTCATCTCACTATTTTTATGATTTACATTCATTATTTTTTTCTTTAACTTTTTAATATGAATAATACCATTTTTTTGTATATTAATCTACATGAAAAATTAGGAAACTATTTAAAAAATTATTGTTAAATAGTTATATAGAATATTTTTTAATCTAAATTTATATAAGGTAAACATCAATATTTTATTCTAAAATATAAAATATGGAATGTGGTGGGGAGTACTACATTATGAAAACCAAGAGAAAACTACATTTTGAAAAAGAGAAAAAGACCCAAGAAGTGTAAAATAATAATAATAATAATAATAATAGTAGTAGTAATAGTAATAGTAATAATAATGATAATAATAGTAATAGTAATAATAATAATAATAATAATAGTAATAGTAATAATAATAATAATAGTAATAGTAATAATAATAATAATAATAATAATAGTAATAGTAATAGTAATAATAATGATGATGATGATAATAATAATAATAATAGTAATAATAATAATTTATATCAACAAGAATCAGAATGAGAATAATTTAAAACTACACATAAAATTTTTTTAAAAACTTTTTTTAGATTTTACAATTTATTCTAGTTTTTTTAGATTCTTTTAATTTTTTTCCAGTTTTTCCAGTTTCTTCCAGTTCCTTCCAGTTCTTCCAGTTCCTTCCAGTTTCTTCCAGCTTTTTCCAGTTTTTTCCAGTTTTTTCCAGTTTCTTCCAGTTCCCAGCTCTATTTTTCCGGTCCTAAAAAACAGGCCCTTAGTGGTGAACGTTATCCCTTCTTTCCAAGAGGGAGGAGTATTTATCCAATACATTTGTTCCATATGCATATTTCTAGCGGGTGTTTAGGGAAGGGCCTAGTGGGCCAGGGCCCACCGGTATTGTATCTGTGATCGATAATACAAGGAATGTGATCACAAATAGTATAGTTACAAATGATGTACATACGAACAGTATCAGAGATGCTCTTGTGTGGGCCCGGGCGTACAGGATCCCATGCCCGTAATAGGGCTGTCTTGCTTTTTTGGCAGCAGGGGCCGAGTACATGATTTTTTCGCTGGATGACACCCGAGTAAAGGATTTTTCGGGTCTGCCCCTAGGTTCGAGTGCATGCAACCGAGTTGAGTATAGACGTGTGGTCGAGTGCGGTTGTTGTCTTGAAAGTTTGGCTTCCCGTTATTGTTTTTTTTAGGCTGAATACCCCACAAACCCCCCAATCTAGGTTATCCATCAATACCATTTCTCTTATTTCTCCCACATCATGGATAAATTTGGGATCAATTCAAGTATGAAATTTATCTTAACATATTTGAAGTTAAATTTAAACTGGAATTATCCTCTAATTGATTTAGAGTGCAAGCAGAGGTTGTTGTCAATATTACTCGGTATTCATTTTGGGATACTTTTTTATTACATTTATAATTGTTTTACAATATACTTCCTCCATCCCTGAATATCTGTCCACTTCTGACTTTTTTTGGTAAAAATTTGTTAATTTTAATCTAAATTAAATTAAAATGTTATTAGATATTGATGCAAACATAATTTTATTAGATTTATTATATCAAATATTTTCAAAATATTATTTTATCTAGTTAATATGTAATATATATTTTATTTTATTTTATTATAGGTAAATGATTGAAAATAGTTGACTGAAAAAAATTAAAATTGGAAAAACACTCAGAGATGGAAATAGTTTTATTTTTTTATATTTTCTACTCTATTTAGACTCGGAAAGTTATTGCCTCATTTGAACTCATTACCTCTCATTTAAAAAATCACAATGAAACTCTTGACATAAAGTATTAGGACGGTACGTTATACTACCTCCGTCCCAGTGTATTTGTCTAGTTTGACTTTTTTGAATCAAACTGGACAAACTTTAAACTCCAATTACTCTCAATTTATGTTGCATATTAGTATAATGAAATACAATTTTGAAAGTTCTTAATAAGATAAATCCAATAAAGTTATTTTTACGTTAAAATACATTACAGTTTTTATTTAATTAGAGCTCAAAATTTGTCCAGGTTTGACTCAAAAAAATCAAACTGGACAAATACACTAGGACAGAAGGAGTAAAAACAAATTCTTCGATTGTGACGTTAGGTCCATAAGTAAAGTGTGAACTTTTTCACATATTTTTCATTAATTAATAGTTAAATTTTTTTATTTTTACATGATCGATCACAAACTATTTTATATGTGAAAATTACTCACTACGTCCGGAAATATTCTTCTCATTTTCTTTTTTGATCCGTCCGGAAATATTCTTCACATTTCCTTTTTTAGTATACTTTTAAGACTATATATCAACAATACCCTTCTAATTTATCACAAATCTACTTTTTTAGTACTTTTTTAATAATAAAAGGAAATTTAAAAGTGTATAGTATGTGCATTTTTGAAAATTTTACATTTTTTTACTATTCCTTAATAAGCGTGCCAAGTCAACACGGAAAGAACATTTCCGGACGGAGGGAGTAATAAAATTAGGAGAATGCTAAAGAGGCACCACATGTGCCTCCAAACATGCCACCTTATATATTTAATATTTTTTTCAATTTGCTTTTTTTCTTAGTCTTTTCGTCTCCCCCTTCTTCCCCAAAATTCCCCCTTCTCTCACTTCAAGCCATAGAATTCGGCAACTCCAATTCGCTGGCATAGTAGGAATTGCAGCCCCACCCCTCCTGCTCTAACGCTGGCAGCCCCACCTCTCCGAACAGGTAGTGACACTAATTTCCATTTCCTTGGTCTCTTTCTTG